ACCCTGAACACATCACATGTAGGACATGTAACCCTGAACACATCACATGTAGGACATGTAACCCTGAACACATCACATGTAGGACATGTAACCCTGAACACATACAGGCACATGTAGGACATGTAACCCTGAACACATCACATGTAGGACATGTAACCCTGAACACATCACATGTAGGACATGTTACCCTGAACACATCACATGTAGGACATGTTACCCTGAATGCAACACAACAATTTTGGATGCCTGGACTACAGTGATTATGAAAAATCTCACCTTGCCCTCCTGGCCTAGCTCCGCCTCCTGTGGCTGGTTCATTCTATTGGCCGTTAAAGCAGAATAAAAATCAGCAGTGGGTGGAGCTACGTGGAGGTTTTCACCTGACCAATAAACAAACAGAAATAAACAGAAAAATGTTTTATCAGAGATGAAACAGAAAGACCAACCATCCAATCAGAGAGTAGATGTCCTCCTGAAGAGAGACATGTGTCCTCCTGAAGAGAGACATATGTCCACCTGAAGAAAGACATGTGTCCTCCTGAAGAGAGACATGTGTCCTCCTGAAGATAGATATGTGTCCTCCTGAAGAAAGACATATGTCCTCCTGAAGAAAGACATGTGTCCTCCTGAAGAGACATGTGTCCTCCTGAAGAGACATGTGTCCTCCTGAAGAGAGACATATGTCCACCTGAAGTGAGACATTTGTCCTCCTGAAGATAGATATGTGTCCTCCTGAAGTGAGACATGTGTCCTCCTGAAGAAAGACATGTGTCCTCCTGAAGAGAGACATGTGTCCTCCTGAAGAGAGACATATGTCCACCTGAAGAAAGACATGTGTCCTCCTGAAGTGAGACATTTGTCCTCCTGAAGTGAGACATTTGTCCTCCTGAAGTGAGACATGTGTCCTCCTGAAGACAGACATTTGTCCTCCTGAACAGAGACATATGTCCTCCTGAAGTGAGACATTTGTCCTCCTGAAGAAAGACATATGTCCTCCTGAAGAGAGACATATGTCCTCCTGAACACAGACATATGTCCTCCTGAAGAAAGACATGTGTCCTCCTGAAGAA